GCCTGTTTGTTTTAGCTTTCTGGGGTTTATTTTTTTCCTTTTTTTTTACCAAAACTTCAGACATCTCAGCCCATGACAGCGAGGTTTGCAAATCAACCCAAATCTGAGCATAGCTCACTTGAGTGAGCTGTGCTAATCTAAGCTGAGCTTCTGTTTCCTGCTTCGAGCTTCTCCCCCGTGCTCTCCTTTGGCGCATGTACAGTGCTGTGTGCTGACAGACACCTTTGAGGCACAAATCAGGCCCAGGTGTGTGTTATGGCAACTGCCCCGTGCTCAGGGTTCTGTGTACTTACTGGCTACCTCCTCGTGGTTTAGGAGGCAGGTGCTTGGAGTCGTGTAGGCTGGAGAGGGGTCCTATGTTTCTGAACTAAGATCCATAACGGGGTGCTCTTGGGTCCTTTCTGTGTGTGCCTGTGGTCAGGCAAAGATGCAGTGTGCCAATGAAAGGAGCCTCCAGAAGAGGCTGTATAGCACAAGCACTGTGTAAGCAGAATGCTGTGGGTAGCGAATACGTTGAGCTGGTACAGTCCCGAGTAGTCCAGCTCTGTGGTCTGCATAAAAGCAGCCCCTCGGAGACCCTGTGGTCTCGCCTTCCTCCAGCAGCTCGGTGACTGACCTTCACTTTCCCTACGGAAAGAGAACCCGTAGAGAAGGGAATTTGCCACCGGTTCTCTTCCTACGTTTTCCCAGACAGTTTGGCCTCCCCGGCTTATGCAGCCTCCCTTTTCTCTGCGTGGGAGAGCACAGGCTGCTGCTGCTGCTGGTGGTGGCGGGGAGGAGAGATGAACATTCATCTGCTCGCTCCTCGCTCTTTTGCTATCCCGTGGGCACGGGTGAGTTAGGATTGTGCCGCTCCTCTGGGGAGCGTTTCCCCTCGCTGCCCTGGTGCGAGGACCACGGAGGCACGGGTAAGGTTGTGCGAGTTTCATGTTGCTGCTGAAACAGGCACAGGAAAAAGCTGAGTGCAGTGGCTCCCTGCAAGAGGTCAGGGGGGAAGACGGAAGGACCAGCATAAGCCTTAGGATGCTCACTTGCTAAGAGGTCTCCCTTCCCAGAGCCCGTGTGCTTTGAGGGCCTAATGCAAAGTCTGCTTCCTCACTTGGTCTTGCGGGAAAAGGGGTAGGAGTTTATCTTGAAAGAGCTCTCTTCTGAGAAGAGCTATTTACTTCTTTGGTTCTTACTCAGTGTCTTGATGTTGTGTGTATAGCCAGGAAGTCTGATGGGGAATATGGGCAAACAAATGGCTTTCTGGCTTGCTTTGGGTTGGTTTTTTTCAGTCTTTGCTGGTGTGGAAGCTAAAGCTGATATTGTACATGCAGGTACATCATAGCAGTGGTCAGTAACACTCAAAACCAGCGTCAGGAGGTTTAGTTTCACTCTGTGGCACTGGCAGGGGCAGGAAGGGTCTCGCAGACTCATCTTTCTGAATCACCCTGTCACAAATGCTGCTGCCCTTTGGTATCCATCTACCCTTCATAGGAGACAGGTACTGAGGTGGGTGCGTAGCATCGCAGGGTGATGTACTACTCACATGTACTTCCTCAGGGTGTGAGCACCCGCACAGGCTGCCTGTGCAGAACCAGCAGGCTCCTTGTTGTCCCCAGTGTGTCCTGCTGCTCCAAATTAGAGGATCTCTCAATCCAGGCGTTCTTTCTCCCTCACTGCTCTCTGATAGTTAGCATTTACTAATTCAGCGCCACAAAGGCAGTGGGCTTCCTTCCATCCTTTCTCGTGCTGGCCACTGCCGAGTGGGATGTGACAAGCCAAGCGGCACTGCTGTGGTGGCCTGGAGGTGAGGGAGCTGCTGTGTGGTTGTGAGAATCCCGAAATCTGAGAAGTCTTACGAGAGCACCACCACCCTCCACCATAAAAGGGAGGATTTTTGCCAGTGTAGCATGTGTATTGCTGACAGTGGCAGGGAATTGCTGCACTTGCAGAAGGATGTTGCTGACAGGCATCAAGTGTGGGGAGGTCAGTGGAGGAGGAGCAAGCCCTCCCATTCAAATAAAAGCAGAGGAAGGGCAGGTCTACCTTCACATTCCAGTCGGGCTTTGGGAAAGCAGGAGCAGCACCATCTGTGTCCCACTTCTTTTAATTTTCTTTTTCAAACCAAGTCTTGAATGCCAGCCATCTGCTGATGCCACATCCAAACTCTATCCCTGTATCTGGGGGCAGAGGATGGTTTCTGCAGGGAGAGGCACTGTTTGGAGTGCAAGAGCTGTGAGTCCCTCAGGGATGCTGCTGGATCCAGAAACCACCAGAGGAGCACGTGCAGGAAGGCTCAGCATCTCTGTTGGGTCACCTTTGTAGTACCAAAGCAGCCCTGCCCAGGGAGGGTGAATCTGAGGTGCTGACAGAGTCCCCAGTGCTTGGTTAATAGGAGATTGGAGTGTTCCTGTGAAGTGGATGCGGAGCGGTGGGGTGGTTCGGAGCCACTGTAGTGATAGCCGAGGCAAAAAGATAGTCATCACTTTTTGCATGTATCCTGGTCACTGGGTGTGATGTTGTTTGGGAAACAGCTTGGGTTGTGGTTTCCTACAAGTTGGCTCATAAAACAGGCGCACTATCTCAATGGGAACCGACACAAGCCCTCAGCTGGCCACAGGAATGAGCAGGCTTGACTTTTTCCTTCCTAGAACCCCAGCCTGGTTTGGGTTGAAAGGGACCTTAAAGCCCATCCAGTTCCAACCCCTGCCACGGGCAGGGACGCCTCCCCCTAGAGCAGCTTGCTCCAAGCCCCTGCGTCCAACCTGGCCTTGAGCACTGCCAGGGATTGGGCAGCCACAGCTTCTCTGGGCACCCTGTGCCAGCTCCTCAGCACCCTCACAGGGAAGAGCTTCTGCCTTAGATCTGACCTGAGCTTGCCCTGTTTCACTTTGAACCCATCACCCCTTGTCCTGTTGCTACAGTCCCTGATGAAGAGTCCCTCTCCAGCATCCTTGCAGCCCCCTTCAGACACTGGAAGCTGCTCCACACAGCTCCTCTTCTCCAGGCTGAACAGCCCCAGTGCTTTAATTCTTTCTGTCCCAGGCGTTCCCCGGTGAGTTTTGATGTTCTTTTAAAGGTGGTTTTTCTGATGGCATTTTTCTGTGTTGTATTTCTCTCTTCCTCTCTGTTACAGCTGTCGAGCGGCGCTGCTGTGCTGACAGCGTTTGTGACCGTGAACACGAGTAAGGCAGCAGAGAGTTAAAAAAATCCCCATTAATTAAAATATTTACATTGGAAGCTGCAAAAGGTTTACTCTTTGAGTAAAACAAACTTCCCATTGTTCGTGGAGCATTGCTGCAGGTTCGCTGGAAATAGGCAGGAAGAGGTTGTGCTCGGAGGAATTCCACTGGGTTGGCAGGGAATAGGAGGGTAGGGACAGTCAAGTGGGCTCTTGGGCAGTGGCTCTGTTTTGTTCCAGTCTTTCTGTCACATGGACAAAAGATCTCTTTGTGGAAGCCAGAAAACCCCCCAAAAGAACCCCCCCAAACCCCATAGTGATGGAAGGATGTTATGTTGTTCTGGCAATGGCAGAAAAGAAGTTGTTATTAGTAGAAGATGAGAAAATGGTATTTTCTGGTTTAGCACATGGTCAGCACTTAAAGTGTATGTTAATGTATGCACTTAGCAGGGAAAAAGAGAAGCATCCCAGAGCAGGTGGTTTGGACTGTGGCTTCCCTCCCGGCTGGTGAGCCGTGTTTGCTGGCAGGGAAATGGCAGCAAGGCACAGCAAAGGATGTTATAAAGGATGTCACCTTTCCTCAGCGTGGAGCACCGGTGGTCCATTGGCATCACGCTGCTCAGTGTCCAAGGAAGGTGATGGAGGGTGCAAACTGATGTCAGGCAACTAAACCACAGCGTTTTCTTTTAATCTAGCACAGGGATGCTCTCAGTAGCATCACCACAGGAAGAGCAAGCAAATATGAAAACTATCTGCTTCAAATCCTTTCATTCCTGTCATATCTCTCCCCAGATAACTGGATTGAAAAATGAAGGGTGGCTGTTTCGAGTTTGTTTTGTTTTACATAGTATTCTCTAATACAGTGTGCCATTTCACTTGTGTGTCCCTGGCCTTTTCCAGCCTGGCACTGGACTAGCAGGCTCCTGGGGCCTGTGGCCAGGATGCTGGAAAGCCTAAAAGGGCGTGTGGGGGAGTTGGTTTGGTTGCTTTCTCAGATCCTTGATTCGCATTTCTCACTCTAGGTAGACTCTCATGCTGTTCCAAGCTGCCAGGCAGGAGGTCTCTCTAATGCCCTAGTGACTCGTGGACTGCCTGGATTGCAGGTCATGGCTCCTTTTCTTAGTAGTGCCATGGGAAGTGTTCGGGCAAGCCCGACTAAATGTGTGGTACTCTTTCCTCTGGTCCCAAGCATGCCGGTCTGCCTCATGTTTGCCTATACCAGAACAGCATCTTTGTTACACTGGTTTGGTTTGTAAAGGTGTTATGAAATGAAGTGCACTTGCTCAGGGTAGGCATCACCTAAACTCGTGCACGAGAGCCTTGTTCCGTACGTTTCTTGCCTGCTTTACTCTGCTTCAGGAAGGCTGGATGCTGACAGTGTCTTGGCCTGGAGATAAAAAGCGCTGCCTGCCCAGGTTTGGTACACTGCTGGAAAACTGCCTCCACGACGTATAGCATCGCTGTGCTTGTTTCTAGCCATTACCACTGGGCTCATTTTACAGCCATTCGCATTATGTAATTTGATGGTCATTTAATTTAATGAGAGGATGCTGCAGACTTATTTATGACTCGGCAGGCTAACCTGCGTGCTTTGGCCCCCTCTGCTAGCCCTGCTGCAGGGGGAAGAGCGTGTTTCTGACAGAACATGTTACGACGTCTTTAATGCCTTTCTCTCCAGGTTTCCCAGTTTGCTGCAGACGGGAGGGCCGCTTGCCTGGGGTGTAGATTATACTGGAATGGCAGCACGAGCTAAGCCGTCTGTTTGCCTTGTACTGCTTCTTCGCCTTCCGTGAGGTTATCGGGAGGTATTAATAGGCTTTTCCTTTTGTTACAGATGGGATTTTATGACTCGCTGGATCCTGAATAGGACGAGGAGATGTGTCTGATAAGGTAAGAGAGAGGGCGAGATTAACATCTTCCGACACGAAACAGTCTCGCTGGTTTCTTGTTCAGGTTGAAGACAGCCCTTTCTTGCCCTGACAGAACCCTGCAAATAGTTGATTTATGTACTTCCGAGTTCCTCTGCCTGTGACCCTCCGAGCACAGACCATCTCTGGTGCGTGCACCTTGTGTCCCACTCCTTTCTCCTGGTGAACTGATGGACAAAGCCCAGAGGACACAAACGTATGTCTTTCCGGGCACGGGGCTTAGCAAGAGAGGTCACACTTATGCTGCTGTTTTAGAGCTTCTTATAAAGTAACAGATGAGGTAGGAAAGCTTCTGTTCAGTGTTGAGGTTCTGCTTGTGCCTCCTTCCCCTCTTTTCCCCGCAGACATTTGAAAGGTAAAAACATCCTTGAGCTGTTTAACTTCTGTTCTTTAAAAACTTGTTTTTCCTGTTGCAGTGTTTTCAAACTGGGGCAGTTTTTACTAGGACAGAGTGTATTTGAGTCGAAAACCTCTAGGTTTGAGTCTGAAATGAGTCTTTGCTGTCAATAATGTGCTGAAGGAAGCCATGGCTTTGCTGCTGTTTGGTGTTCTTTTGTATTGCCTTCCTTAATAGCAGTGCTTTTAAAAGACAGTGCTTCGATACTTTTTCTCTTGGTTTCTGGTTTAGAGGCTTCTGCTGGTAAGAGAGGAATCGGTGTTTTTAAACCCCTTAGCTGTTGGGATACCACATTCAAACAGCAGCCAGACGTCGCAGTAGTATTACATAGGGATTGTCACTGTCTTTCAAGCTACACTCCAACCTGTGACGATACAGCTCTAGCACTTGTTTCATTTTATGTCTTCTGCTTTCCCGAGTTGGGTGCCATTTACAGGCCTCAAAAATACCTGTTGTTCTTCCTGGCTGTTGGCTGGAAAATGGAAAGGCACGCGAACAGCAAAATGAGTGGTGGCCTTGTATGAGGACCAGGCCTAAATCACTTTTTTTCCTTGGATTCAGAGATTTAGCTCTTACAGACACTCTTGAGGGGTTTTTAGTTTGGTTTTGGTTCTCTCCCCCCCCGTAAGTTCTGTTTGCTAAGTAGACTTACCCTTTGGAGGGTGGCTGTCCAAGCGAGAGCTCTTGGCACTGTGTGGAGTATGCAAGAATCAAAGACTTAGTTGCTGCTTAGCCTTCTTGTGGAAGTGTGAGGCGTTTTCTCCATTCAGACTACCCTCTTTCGTGCACCATGTGTTAAATTGTGTTACAAACACGATGTGTTGAAGCTTACTCCCTCCCTGGAGGTGGTCTTGTATGTGTGCAGTCAGCAAAATCCAGCTCTCGCTGGCGTGCGGTTACTACGCAGAGCACCTCACGTGCATACCTCGTTCGCTATGTAAACCACCTTCTTCACGTGTTCCAACCAGTCTGCCTGTGCTCCAAGAACAGGTAATTACAGCTGCTTTCAGGACTTCTTAGAGCGTGTTCTGCCTGCCTGTGCCAGCATCCCTGTGCACGAAGGTGGTCCAGCTGCCGTCCCGTCACGCATCTGCCACTGGCGCTTGTGCGGTGCCCACCGTGGCATCGCTGCTGCTGTCTGTGTGCTCTCATCATAGGATCATGCAGTAGAATCACAGAAACAACCAGGCTGGAAAAGCCCTTTAAGCTCACCCAGTCCAACCGTTCCCCAGCACTGCCCAGGCCACCACTGCCCCATGGCACTGAGGCCTCGTCTCCACGCTGTGTGAACACTTGCAGGGCCGGTGACTGCAGCCCTGCCCTGGGCAGCCTGTTCCAATGCCTGAGCACCCTCTGGGGCAGGAATTGTTCCTCGGCTCCATCTAAACCTGCCCTGGGGCAGCTTGAGGCCGTTTCCTCTTGTCCCATCCCTTGTTCCTCTCTTAGTTAATTTTCAGTGCTGGTCCCATGGAGTGGGCCCTGATGAAGCTGTGTGCTGTAACGTGGGCACCTCTTGTGGCACAGCTGGCTGCTGTTGTGCTGGCTCTCCTGGGGTGAGGTTGCTCACCCCTTTCCTCATAAACCCACCCCCAAGGAGGCTCTGCTTCTAGCAAGTTCTGCAGCTTGAGGCCATGACACCTTCTCTCTCCACGGCTTTATTACCAGCCCCAGGCGTGTACAGAGCATGAGCCAGGTGCCTGGCAATCGCAGGACTGCCTTTAAAATGAGATTCTGGGAGGAAGCAGCAGCACTTCCCACCAGCTCTTGTCTCTCAGCTCCAGAAGAAAGCGTTACGTCCTTGTTTCCTGAGGTACCTTCTCGGGGTTGGAATTACTCCTGAGCTGTGCACGTGTGGATCTGAGTCTCCTTCGTTTGTCCCTTTCTCGGCAGCCTGGGCTGGAGCCGTGCCACTGCCCTGCTCCCAGCCCTCATGTGTCACAAGAGGTGGCTGTCCTGGTCCTGCTTCTTCTCAAGACTGCACTTGTTGGGTGTACCTCATTACTTCAGCTGTCCCTGACTGCTGTGGCATTGGTGTTAGTTGACTTCACCTGCCGCTCTCTTTCTGCGTTCCCTCTCCCCACTTACATTTGGGTTTCTGTCCTTCCAGACAGGCATCTGGATCCTGCTCCAAACGTGTCCTCTGGTCCCATGTTAGTGGCTGGCCTTAAACCACGACACTCTGCCTGCTGGCCATGTTTTCCCTTGGTCACTTAGAGTTCTCGTGGATACTTCCTGACCCATTCCCTGCTCTTCCTCCTTCCAGGGAAGTACTTCTGAAGCACTCCCGTGTTTATTGCTGCCCTTGCAATTAAAGGGGGAGCCATCCTTCTGCCCCATTTCAAGCAGCGGGACGTGGCCCAGTCTCTGTGAGGAATAATCAGGTTTTAATCCTAGCCATGGTGACTTCCATGTAAGGGCTGGCTTTTGGCATGCATCCTGTTGATTACGTGATGGGGTTGACTTAACACAAATGGGTAATTGCTCTTGTAATATGCCTCAAGTGCTGTGATGAAATTGCGAGCCTTGGCAAGCTTGCGGCAGTGTTGAGAGGTGCCAGACCTCTCCCCCAGTCTTTTCTTTTCCTTCCCCCATATTTCCCTGTGCCTTTATCTTGCTTCCTTCCGAGGAGGCCCGGGCCCTGGTGACCTGCAAGTCAAGTTTCACAGGAGCCCAATAGCTCGGGTAATAAGTGTAAAATCTGTCTGTAAGGCCTGATCTATTTTCAGAGGTCCATTTCTGAGATAAAACTGACTTTGATCGCTGGAGCAGCATTGTGTCGTTTTGGGGAGGAAATGACAAGGAAGTAACTGTTATCAGGCCTATTTTCACCCACTGTTAGCTTAGACCTGATGGATTGCAGCTCCAAGGTCGCTTGTCTTAATAGTTCCAAATTAGGTTGCCGATTAATATTGATTATGTGAAAAGCAGTAGATTGATGTGCATTATTAATAGCCGTTAATGCACTTTATAAGAGCAGTATGTTTCACAAACACTTCCTAGTTGTTCCTTTCAACGAGTCTTGGCAGTGCAAACCCCAGCCTATCACACGCAGAGCTAGAGTAATTCATTGAACTATTGGTGTTCCTTTGCATTTTTGGTGTGGTGTTGCTTTTTACTGGAGGTAACCCTTGATTTTCATGCGACTGAACTGAACCCAAGTCCAGGAATTCTGCCTTTATCAGCCGGGACGTTGTGGTCCCTTCTTGCGTTAGTGCGCATCAGTGCAAACCTCTTGCTTTGTTGCTGGATGAGTTTTAATAACTTCCTTTGGCACTGCCCGTGGAGAGTGTTGTCTCCGCAGAAGCAAGTTAATGTGAATCAAATGGAAACAGGTAATTTAAGTTCCTTTGCTCGGGTTACTTTGCTGTTTGTCACAATGCAGAAGGTACCTTGGAAGCGCAGGGATGAAAATGGGGAAGCTCTCGTGCATAAGGAAAAGCCTCAAGATAACCAAGTTGGTGGTGGGGGGGGGGGAATATCTATGTAAATATAGACATCAAGGTAAACGTGTTTTCCTTTCCTCTTTCTTCCAGAAGATTGGAATATTTGCACAATGTGATGTTGCAAGTTGTACGTGCTTAACGCTTCTGAAGGAATAAATGACTTCAGTGCCTGAATGTGTAGATAACTGTCAGCTTCAAAGGATGGAGCGGGTTGGAAGGAATGTTTGGGGAACAGGCAGGTACCAGGCAGCAGATAGGAAGCAGCGGAATACATTCACCTCGTGTATCAGAGGCCTAGATGTCAGTCTGTATGGAAATGAAGATTAATCATGTTCTCAAAAGCAGATTTCTGTGGTTCTGCTCCTAATGTAAAAGTGGAATGCTCACTTCCCACTCCCCACCTCTGTCCCACTGGGCTCCCCCAGCTGCTCGCTGTAAGAATTGTGTTGCTCCTATAAAAACTGAGATGGGAAATAAGCCTATTTAGTACTTTTCAAACTACCCTTATAAAAAAGGCTGCCTTTTGCTGTAGAACGTTCTTGGTATGAGCTGGCTGGTTCTGCAGGATGTCAGTGATTTTGCACTCTTGAATAAGCAGTTCAGAGAAACTGAAATCGTTACTGTAGAGTGCACATTAAAGCCATAGGGCTGAGATGGGAAGAGCCACTTCAGCTTTCGCTTGAGAAGCGAGCTGATGTGAAGTTCCCTTTGGAGCAGGTAAAGCACAAAGAAGATGGGGCGTAGTTCAGCATTGCAGTTCGAGGTGGATGTCGCCTGTCCTTCACCCCCCTGAGCCTGTGTAGGGAGCTAAACCTGGCAGAACCCACTGGCTCTGGCTTCTCTGTAGGGCTGTTTTCCTGACCTAAGTTGTCTGGGCTCCAGTGGACACAAGAAATCCTCCTGGAGGGATGTAATGAAGGGCATTGTCCAGGTGTGTTTGTTTAGTTCAAGTTGCTATGGCTTAAAAAGCGGAGAGAGGAGGATGTGGGTGTCCGTAAGCTTTGGTGCTCTGATCTGCCACGGGTGATTCTACGTGGAAATCACTTAAAGTTCCTCATTTAACCAAGTGAATTAACATGAGCTAGAGCAGCAGAATGGTGGAGCCCAGTCTGTCCTGGAGCG